GGTGGGGGGTCATGTGGGGACTTTATTGATTTAATTTGTTTTAAAAAAATTATTTGGGCAAAAATACACGTGTCATTGAGTCATTGGTTACTTTATATTTTTACTCAAAATTCATTATCTACAAATTGTTTTTTGACAAATGTCGTCATTTAATTTGCCACTTTACACGTCATCCGCGAGTGTAAACACACACCTCATATATTTTTGTTGATTGGCAAAAGAGTGTCAAAATGACACAGCGAAACCCTACATGAGGTGTCTAAAATGAACATCACCCACTTGAGGTGCCTAAGTGAAATTTCGTGCCAAGTTTAAGGGGCCACCGATGGGTTAGCCCTATTAAAAAAGTGAAATATATCTCATATATATTTTGGCTAAACATGTGATGAAATTTCACTCAAATTGTAATTCCAAATAATATTTGCCATAAATATTTGATAATGTATGGTCAAATGTTAGCTTCTTCTACTTTTTCTAGAGAAGTGTTGCATTTCAGTGTACAACTTTTTTAATAAATCTTGTAAATATTAGTATTAAGAAACAAATCAGAAAGTATTTTTCATAATTTCTGGTATATTTACCTCAGAGGGAACTTTATAAACATCAAATTCATGACAGCAGTGAATAATATACAAAGAGATCTAGAGGGGAGTAGGGAATTTATATTATAAGTAACTAACTAACAAGCCAAGTTTTAATGCGTATAACAAATCTTTTGATGGTGAAACATGACAAGCATTGCGTAGTGTATAATGTTCTTTAGCCAGACGCAGTTCTCATGAGTGATAAAACGGAAGCCTGCATATAAAATGAGTTAATTAACATCACATAATCCATATTAGCTTAAAAAGTATTTGCCGCAACTTCACACTTCTGAGTAGAGTAGAACCTTATAATCCTGAATGTTATCCTGTTGGCAACATGTTTATGCGGCAAAAATAAGCTCACAATGTATTTTGCTGTTTCCAAAATAATACTCATTACCTCATTTTTTAAACAGAAATTGAAACTTTGGTCCTAGAAGTGATAAAAGTATCTCATTTTTGGGTCAACCCTAAACATAAGAAAGTGTGCACCAATTATTATACTAACATAAAAAGAAATCCTCTAGCATAGCCAACACTGGTATGACATAATCTCAACCATTTGCTATCTCCAAACACTATCAAATCAATGGCTACGCAAAATTTCTTCCATTTTTTCCGATGGTTAATTTTCTTTTTCAAAATCAAAATGTGTTATATCTGGTAAGACTGAAATTCTCTCTGACTCAAATGGTGTATTTTCTACTTGATCCCGACGATTCTTTCTCTGTCGTCGACGCCGTCAATATCTCCGGCACATCTATCGTTGGTCCTTTTCAATCTTTCTCCACCACCTCACTCAGCTTTCATCTCTCTTTCCAACAATCTCATTTAATTCCATCTCCCTCATCTGAATTTGCTTTGAAATCTCTGTTTTCCGGTTAAAAGAAAAGAGAACGAACGAACTGAAAATATATACTAATAAAATAAATAGATAAAAAGAAAATTAACATTTTAAATTAAACAAAATGCTGAAACAAGTAAATATTGTTTTTCCTCTTAGCCAGTGAAATATACTCTATGTGCCGCGTAGGATTATAAGGGTGTAATAAACTCACTCTTGACAAGAATAATATCTTTTCAAAGTTTCATTATCTTTTTTCAAAAAAGTGTTAATTTTTTTTTGTTAAACTGTGAAAAATTTATCATAACCAACAAAGTAACAATACACACTAAAGAGCACCAAACAATCAATACCACCTTCTAGAAAGGGTGTAAAGGATAGAGAGGCCTCAACAAAATTAAGTAAATTAATTACAAGTCAATTTATGTATGTATCCTCGACACCTATGAGCTTTGCTAGACAACTTCAAGAAGGTCTAATCTCTCTACAATTTGTGGAGAAAATACATCATTACCCTCTCTAACGTTAACTAGGATAGCTAGTAAGGGGACAAGACAAAGCACTCCACCTACTAGAAGATAGGGATGTCAAAAGAATATGAAAAATCGATTAAACCTAACCGAACCTATTTATGCTATTTTTTCTATAAAACCAGTGGACTTTTAGTTAGGTGTATAACTGTCCCGAATAATTGGGATGATCTTTTTAATTTATGAAAAAATTGAAAAAATTCCAAACCAAACCGAATAATCTTACATATATATAAATATATTTTATATATTAACAAAATGTTAAATTTAATAAATAAATATATTCTATAACATTTATCAAATATTAATATAACGTAGGTCATAGGCCTCTAGTGACTAGACAACTTTAGGTCTTTGCTTTTTAATTAGGTTTAAAATTAAAAGATACTGTAATAGATGCTCTATAAAACAATACAACAAAACCTATCCAAACACTCCTATTAAATATTTAAGATCAAACAATACGGCAACAAGGTTTTACATTCTTGTCTTTTTGGTGAAGAATTAAAGTGCTTCAAGAATATATTTGTGAAAGAAATATATTAATAAAAGTATATTTTGAGGTGATATTATAAAAGTAAAAAAAAATGAAAATTAACTAAACCGTACCGATACGGAAGAGAAACCAATATGATTGGGATGATTTAAAAAAGTCTAATTTTGGTTATACATTATAAAATACCCAAAAAATTGAGATGGTATAATTTTTAAAAAATAACCGACCAAACCGTACCATTGACACCCCTACTAGAAGGTACACACTCATACATACTAACTTTCTATCTTAATTTGTGTCCTCTACACTTTTCTATTTAAGGTCAGTAAATTAGGGAAAATGCACAAGTACCCCCCAATCTATGCCCGAAACCCCAGAGACACACTTATACTATACTAAGGTCTTATTACCCCCCCCCCCCAAACTTATTTTATAAATAATTTTCTACCCCTTTTTGGCCTACATGGCACTATCCTTGAAAAAATTATCAACACACGCTGGGCCCACAAGATAGAGCCACGTAGGCCGAAAAAGAGTAAAAAATTATTTATAAAATAAGTTCGGGGGATAATAGGACCTTAGTATAGTATAAGTGTGTCTCTGAAATTTCGGGCATAGGTTGAGAGTAAATTATATATAAATTCAAACTTACCAAACCATCATAACAATACATCTATAGATAATATAAGTTCATTTTAAAAGTAATTTGATACTCAAAAGCACTTCTAAAAATTGGACACACAAATTACCACTATAATATCACCCTTTCAGTTTTAATGTTTGTATTAGTTGGATTAACTTGAATTTTGAGGTCTTAAACAAAAATAGTCTCTTATAGAAGCGTCATTGTTTTTGAAACAAACTAAAACGAAAACAAAGTACAAAAAGCCCTTCTCAAGTAAATTGGCCAAACACTAACTCAATTACCGAAACTCTTTTTGGCATGCAGCACTTTTCAAAATAAACCAATTCTGAAAGTTTCACCTAAAACAGATGTTTGGGTGGTTTAAGAATTATAAAAAGCATCTGCACCCCTCCAAAAAGCCCTGTTTGGGTTAGTACACTCTACTGGCTTCAATATCTTTTGGCAGCACAACCATATCCTTCCGCTTAAACTATAGCTATATATAATCCAATGAGGGTGAGGTAATTGCTGCATTGGATACAAAAATCAAAACTATTCAAATAGTACCAATAATACAAGTAAAACACGAAAACATTTTTAAAATATAGAACAGAACTCAAGAAATGAGGATGTGCAATTATGATATGTCATCTGTTTTCTCACAACTATGTAACATCTATGTTTTTTTGATGAAGCATGTAACATTATGTGAGATATATTAGTTTCAAAATAACAGTAAATAACTCTTAGTGTAATGACATAACACTTGCAATATCATCTTGGCTGTACCCCTTCTCTAATTTACAAAACACTTCGTCTAAACATAACATTTCCTATATTGGGATTCCAAATCACTTAAAACTTTTAGGGAACTAGTATCAAACCTCTCGATAACAACCTTCCCTATATTTTTTGGAATTTTATAGCAACCGACTCAAAGCACTTTCCCGTGTTGATGGAGTTGCACCAAGAATCAATCCTCAACCTGTTTTTATTTTGCCTTGGAGATGGATGTTTTGATGCGACATAGTCTAGGTGAGGAGCCATGATGTATGTTATTTGCGGATGACTTAATTTTGTTTGACGAGACTCGTGGTGGAGTTAATGCTAAGTTGGAGATTCGAGGACGAACCCTGAAGTCTAGAGGGTACAGGTTGAGTAGGCTCAAGACCGGATACCTTAAGTGCAAGTTCAGTGATGGGACACATGAGATTGATGTGAAAGTGAGTCATGATATATGTGGCATCTAAAAGAGAGGCAATGTTAAGTCTCTTGGGTCGATTATCCAGGGAAATGGAGAGATTGACGAGGATGTCACTCACCGTATTAATGCAGGGTGAATGAAATGGAGGCTCGCTTCCAGAGTCTTATGTGATAAGAACGTACCACCTACACTTAAAAGCAAGTTCTACAGAGTGGTAATTAAACCAACTGTGTTGAATGGGGCAGAGTGTTGACCAATCAAGAACTTTCACATTCAAAAGATGAAAGTGGCAAATGGATGGATGTGTATGTGGGTATGCTAGGAGAGATATGATTAAAAATGAGGATATCCAAGACAAGGAGGGAGTGACTTCAGTGGAAGACAAGATGCGAAAAGCGAGTTTGAGATGGTTCGGGCATGTAATGAGAAGATGCATGCATGCCCAGTGCGGAGGTGTAAGAGGTTGGTTGTTGATGAATTCAGGAGAGCTAGAGATAGACCAAAGAAGTATTAGAGAGAGGTAATTAGATAGGACATGGTGTAGTTGCAACTCACTCAGGACATGATCTTAGATACAAAAGTGTGGATGACATAAATTATGGTAGAAGGTTAATAAGTAGGAGTGCTTTGTCTTGTTGCTCTTATTAGTAGTCGTAGGACTACTCTTGTAGTTTCTTGTTTTTCGATTTCTGTTACTATCTATTATCTGATGTAGTTCATTTGTTGTAGTATTGCTCTATTTTTGACTAACCAACACTCGACCCTATAAAACAATGTCAATCCAACCACCACTCTATAGAATTTACCTTTCGTCCATGGAAGTTTATTTGGAAGACTAATGCTCCTACAAAGGTTATGCATTTCACCTGGTTGGTTAGCTAGAAAGACAAATTTGACTTAAGAAAGATTGAGAAGAAGAGGATTCCATTTATGTTCCACAATGTTTGTTATGTGAGTCTATTTCTTCATTGTTCTTTAACTTATCAATTGTGAATGCCAGTAAACACTGTGGATCTTCTCAAGAGCTGAAATAGTTTGAGAGGTATAGCTAGACAGAAGAAATGGCAGAAATTGGTTTCTGCCTTTATATGGTTGACAGTTTCGAAAGAGAGAAACTTGACCTCCACACTCTCCTATCAAGTGTTATGTCCTCGGTAAGCTGAGGTTGCATCATGTCCTACCTAATCACTTCTCCCCGAGACTTTTTAGCCCTACCTCTCCCTCTCCTCATGGCCACCACAGTCAACTCTCATGCCTCCTAACTTGTGCATCTGTGTATCTCTTCTTTACATGTTCGAACCATCTCAACCTCCCTTCCCACATCTTGTCCACCACGGGGCCACACCCTCCATGGATAATGCCAAAAATTATGAAAGACTTGTTGTTCAGTTGTAAGAGTGAGAAGAAAGAGAAGAACGTGGTTCCACTTACATTAATGTGGGTAGTTTGGAGAGAGATTTTGAAGGAATAAAGTTGAGTTTCTTTCAGATGAGGAGTAGTCGTCATTCCCTTATTTTCTTTTGGTGCACACAAAAAGTTCCTTTTGGTTCTTCATAGATGATTGAATGGAGTTTGTAGAGAATCATTTCTTTATAGATTCTTTATCTTTTGGTATACCCTTGCAAATACGACCTGTTTGATCTTGTTTATGAATGAAAGATTTTATTTGATAGAAAAAGAGATATAATTTTTAAGTTAACTAATAATAGGGTCCAAGTTCCAACATTTTGACCAAATATTTTTCGGTACATACTATGGTGATTAAAAACTTTTTCATTGAAAGATTAGTAATGCATTCATCACTTAAAAGTTTATAATGCATTTTTGCAAGGTGATTTACATGATGAAGTTTATATGCAATTGCCTGAGGGATTTCCTAGTCAGGGGGAGTCAGTTGTGTGTAGACTAGTAAAGTCCCTATATGGTCTTAAGCAAGCAAGTAGGCAATGGAATTTGAAGCTATGTGAGACACTTTTTCATTCAGGTTTTATTCAAAGTAGTTTGGATCATTCTTTATTCATCAAGAGACAAGGTTCAGATATAGTGGTGATATTGGTTTATGTGGATGACATGCTGGTCACAGGAAGTAACATGGCTCTCATTGAACAAACAAAAGCTTCTTTACACAAGGCTTTTAAGATCAAAGACATTGGTGAGTTGAAATTCTTTCTTGGAATGGAGTTACGCAGATCAAAAAAAGGGATTCTGATAAATCAGAGAAAATATGCACTAGAAATCATCTCACACTTGGGACTAGGAAGTGCTAAACCAGCTTGGACACCACTTGAGGCAAACATGAGACTTACAACACAAGAATTGGATGACTCAATAGGAAGAGCAGATGATGAGTTTTTTGAAAACATAGAACAATATCAAAGCTTGGTAGGAAAAATGCTATATCTCACATTAACTAGACCAGATATAGCTTTTTCAGTTCAAACACTTGGTCAGTTCCTACATCAGCCAAAAAAATCACACTGGGAGGCAGCAATCAGGGCGATGAGATATGTTAAAAGAGAACAAGGACTTGGGACCTTGTTGAGCAGCCATAAAACAAACAAGTTGAGTGTTTTTTGTGATGCAGACTGGGCATCATGCCCTAACACAAGGAGTTTCAGGTTTTTTAGTCAAGCATGGTGATTCCTTGTCCAAGAAGCAAAATGTGGTCTCTAGAAGCTCAGCAAAGGCAGAGTATAGGAGTATGGCAAATGCAGTGTCAGAGGTAGTATGGGTGACTGCATTGATGAAAGAGTTGGGGAGTGAAATAACTGATCCAGTCATGATCTTTAGTGATAACAAAGCAGTATTACAGATAGAAGCCAATCCAGTGTTTCATGAGAGGACAAAACACATAGAAATTGATTGTCATTTCATAAGGGAGAAAATACAAGAAGGTATGGTGAGGTCAGTGCATGTGACCTCTAAGGAACAACTTGCAGATATATTGACTAAGGGACTGCCCAAAATACAACATGAATATTTGGTTGGCAAGCTAGGTGTGTTGAATGTTTTTGCACCCACTAGCTTGAGGGGGAGTAATGAAATAGGGATAACTTGATGATGATGTGTAAGAAGGGTATTTGAGTAATTAGCAAGCTGAGTTTGTTATTATAGTTAGTTAGAAATACAGTTAGAAAATGTCAAGTTCACTGGTGTATATATATGCATCAGATTCACTGTATTGAGTCAGTTTTTTCTATTCCAATAATAAGATCAAACACATTTCTTCTTTCTTCTTCACTGTCTATCCTCAATGGAGGTTGTGTAAATTTGACAATTAGGGCATATTTGTATTCCATTAGCCAAAAGTTTTCCATCTTTTAAGGGTCAAAATTTACTATTATTAAAGTCGAGACCCGGTTAGAACAATGGAAGGTAACTTGGAACACTTTCCAGTCATGATGGCGTTTGCACCAATGATCAACCTTTCATTTGTTACTATTTGCCTAAGTAATGGACGAATTGAGACGACACATTCAAAGGCAGGTGCCGTAATGTATGCTATTCACATATGACATAGTACAAATTGATGAGAAACAAGTTGGAGTTAACGATAAGTTGGAAGTTTAGCGACATGCTCTAGAGTCAAAAGGTTTTAGGTTAAGCAGAACTAAAATAGAGCACCTGAAGTTCAAGTTCAGTGACGTGATGCATTAGACAGAGGTGGAAGTGAAGAACGATACCCGATTCATACCATGAAAAGAAGCTTCAAGTTTCTTGAGTCCATAATCTAGGGAGATGGGGAGATTGATGATGATGTCGCACATCGTATTGGAGCAGGGTGGGTGAAATAAAGGCTCGCATCCGAGGTGTTGTGCGATAAGAATGTATCGCCAAGGCTTAGTGGTAAAAAGAAATTTTAAAAAAAATTGGTACATAGGTATTGGAAACACTAGGGCTGTGCTGCAACTATATATGTAGAGAAAAATTACCACAACCAAACAGAAGCCTAGAACTAATTCATGGTGTCCTATCAAATCCAATAAAGAAAATTCCTCCTCTAAAAAACATTCTTTATACTAAAAGTGGAACAAAAGTAAGCACTTTATCTTAATATCCTGCTACTTCTTACTTTTCATCTCTTCTTGAGAAGAGGGTCTAACTGAAACAGTCCCTACCTTGTGGGATTATACTGGGTATGTTGTTGATTGTTGCTATTATAGGTAAAAAGTTGCTATAGAGGTAAAATATAACATAAAAGATAGGTTCCTAGAAAAATTGGCTTTTATAGTGAAGTGTTGTTATATAAGGATGATGTTATAGAGAGGTCTGTTCTCTAATCTAATACGACTTAAATTACTTCCACTTCACATTCTTATAACAATTTGAACTAAAACATTGAAACTGATAATTAAACAAGTATCACTTCAGAATTTTTCTTTTTCAGATTAGCCTTCTGTCCCCGTTCCTGATACTGTGAAAGGGTGGAGTAGCATAATTGTGTGCAACCAAACATGTCAATATGACCAAAATTAATGTGCAACTTCAGCATATAAATATCAGATGTCATTGTAGCTAGAGTACCTACCTAGATTGCCATGAATCTCAATAGAGCCCCAACATTCTTAGCTCTGTAACGTGATTAGGATCAAGTTCTGGGACATCTTTCGTTAACCTTTCCCGATCTTCTACCACATATTCCTGTCAATACAACCATAAGAGTGTAAGCAAACTAAACATGTGGGTGGGTGGTGGGGGTCCTTTGGTTTTGCAATATATGAACATTTGATCTCCATATAAAATTCCATATCAATTAAACAACATTTGGTTTCCGATGTAAAATCTGTACAACATTTAGTACCGGAAACCAAATATTATATCAGTACATATATTATATGAGCTATGCAGCATGCAGAATTTGAAACCAGAAATCAAACAAATGTATACAAATTTCGGTTTAACTTGCACAAGAATCTATGAATATAGAATGTAGGATATGAAAACCTGTATAAGCATACATGGATATGAGCACTAACTACATTAACAATCCATGTATCTATATTCATCGCATTCCTACTTTATTATTCACCCCATCAATCCTTGCATAGTTATTCACCGTATAATTAATCTCGGACGGTCGGACCATAATTCTCGTATAACTAGGCCATAAACCAAACAACCCCATTACTATTAATGGTGAAAGGGACGGGGCATAAACAATATAATGCCAAAGTCCATGATGCATAAGCATGTCTGTGTCTTAGCAGTAGATGCAACACCTTCGTGAGTTCTTTTTTGGCAAGGACATGATAATGGCGTTCACTAATTCTCTGTCCACAAATTATTGCTATGAAGAAACCATAAAGCAAACCCACCAGTACAATTGCCAAAACTGCAATCAAAGAAGACATATTAGTCGGCAAGTTAATAAGGAGGGTAAAGGCTCACAAATCATTTTGAAGGGCACAATAAATCACAGGAACACATCTAATCCACTAAACATTATTAGAATGGCTGCATAGCTGCATCAGACCGCACACATTTTCCTTTGTCGGTCTTCTCTTCCTGATAAACATCCTACTATCAATTGGATCTCATATGATTAAGAAAAATAAGAGAGCATTATATCTTGATTGCTTATGATCACTTAAAGATACAGGAGGTACTGCACCCAACCATAGAACAGTAACATTACTGTAAAACTTTCCATAGATTCAATTCTAGTGAATAAGAAAGAAATACGAGAACCATAAGACCTACATCTCAGAATTGTTTTTCCTCTTGTTCCTGTATTCTCTTGAACTAGTTGACCAGAACAATTCATCTCATGATCACCTCACATAATGGTTAAATATTAAAATATTGTATATTGCAATCAATGTATCCAAGTGTCTCCATACCATTAAGGAAGGGCGTAGAAGATATATGTTTACCTTTTTCATGTATATATCCATTAGTAAAGGAAAGAATTTCTATGTTAGGGTTTCTTGACAGATAACCATCATTAATGGCAAATCATCATGGAAAAAAACAAGACCTCACTAAAAACAGAGACAATGATGATATCCCTAAATGCATCTACAAGTTCCACATTTTAATCATATGAAGATAACAGTTTATTTAGAAGTAAATAAGAAAATGTATAAACAGGTCTTTGTGATAAAAGGTCTAAAATAAAGGAAACTTAAAACTAGAGGATTGACTAAGTAGACATGTTGTATTCATCACCTAACTTTTCTCATGGAGCCAACAACTTTGATATAGTACTAAGGATCATAACTTCCACCATGCATTTGAATAATGCATTTAGTATGGTAGACATGGTCTCTTTGCCCCACTTGCTTCAACTACAAAAAGGGACAAGTAAAGATGATAACTCATGAGCACACTTCCAACCAGTTTGAGCTCCACTAAGGTTCAAGTGGTCCTTACTCCTTCCTTATTTTGAGCAAATCAACCACAACATACCCAGTGAGATCCCAGTCGGGTCTGGGGAGGGTGGGTGTATGTAGACCTTACCCCTACCTTGTGTGAGGTAGAGAGGTTGTTTTCGATAGACCCTCGACTCAAGAAAAGCGTTTTCGAAAGAACAGATTTAACAAATACAAGAATAAAAGCTACGATGAAAATAATGCAGAAAAGAAAACTACTGACAACAAAAATACTAAAGATAACCCCAAGTAAAAGAAACAACAACAATAATATCATTGGAGAATAAGATAATAATAGACTAATAATAATGTACTTATAAGTAGAAGAGGGAGTACAATGTGCTCTAAGCTAGAACCATGCTCACCCACCGGAAAGCGCAAAATTGCTTGACTACCTACTCTAACCCTCGACCCTATCCTCAACCTCCCTGCTTTCCTATCTAGGACACGTCTTCCATGAGCGAAGATGTGTCATGTCTAATCATTTGAACATCTAACTAATTGTTACATATCAGGTTGTTTTAAGTGAACATAAACAATAAGCTTTTGTCAATGCATGAAATAAGAACAACACCTCCATCACAAACAAGTAGGATCAGGTATGAAGCCTCTATACTCATTTCCAATTAGTTTGTCATTTAAGACAAATTAGGGATTCCTCGAACCTGGAGATTTTTCTACATCTGACAGTTATCCTTACAATGGTATATATATATCTATCAAATCAAAAGATCCCTTACTGGGCACCAGCTGAAAGGAGATTGTGCTCTCTGCTATTTCTGTCTAACCTCTCGGCCTTCGAATATGGTGAGCGTTCCTAATACATAGAAAACTTACTGCAAGTCCAAGGAGTGTAAAAAGCACACCTTGCATAAGCTCACACAATACAAGAAGGGGAAAGACAGCTTGGCTGCTCAGGGTAAGCATCGTTATAACAGGAAGCAGTCTGGTTATGGTGGTCAGACAATGCCCATCTTCCACCAAAAAAGGCTAAGACCACAAAGAAGATCGTGATGAGGTTGCAATGCCAAGGCTGCAAACATGTTTCACAGCACCTAAGCAAGAGGTGCAAGCATTTTGTAATTGGTGAGGACAAGAAAGGAAAGGGAACCTCTCTTTTCTAGATTGCCTGTGAAGTCACCAAGAACTTCCTTTTTTTTGCCTTCTCTTATGTTGCAATGTTGAACTTTGGTTATTTTGGATGTTGGTTCTTTTATGTTACATTGTCTTACAATAGATGGTTTTCCGTTATGATAGTTATATGAAGATCCTATCCAAAAAAAAAAAAAAAACTTGCAAACACTAGACCAAATATAACTAAGAATGTGGAAACTTATGCACGGGATGGAGACCTTGAGCTGGGAACAAAACTAAGAACAGTCCATCAAATTAAACAGCTCAATAATCTGCTGAAGGACTTATTGTGGAATTAATTTTTTTTTTGAGATAAGGGTAACTGACTTAATGTGGAATTAATTTGATTCCAACAAAATGGCATTACCTATATGGCTCCCTAATTTCCTCTGTGATTTGTTCTTCACGAAGTCCACAATGAAATTATGTATTAAACTGTTGAAAAGGCAACACTTCTCTTTTCATTGTGCAATAGGTGATTAGTATTTTTATATCCAATTTGTTGCCATCATGTTGATTATTTTTTTATCAAAGTGGTGTCACAATTTCACATGGTTTTGATAATTAACATCTCAAATGATAATCATAAAAAAGTTAACATCTCAAATGATAGCAGGTGGGGACAACAGTTCATGACTTCTGATCAACAAGGTTATTAACAAGACAGCAACCAGGCATCACCTATCAAATTCACCACTGTAGAAGTATAATCTCATTGATCAGTTCATGGTAAGCCTTTCCTCTCTCCTGGAGGCAGGAATCCGTTTTATATATCTTTGTGTTGAATGCGGCAAAGTAAGGCCAGCTTTCTTGAAAGCAAAACAAAGAACTAAAACTAACAACTGAAAAGCTGCCAGCACCTTTTCCTTTCAACCGACATTGTAATTCCACCCTATTCCCCAAAACTGAATTATTGTTCTTCCCCCAGTGTATTCTTTCCAAAAATACATTCAATAGTATCTAAAGATGCTTAGTCAGTTTATTCTCCTAAACACAAATCAAGGCATTTACAACTTTTTCCAGAAAGAAGAAACTGAAATTGAAAAAAAATTCTCCCACAACCAAACGGTTTCTAAACCAAGCAAACCTAGGACAAATCTAAGAAGCCGTTTGATGGCACATAAATCTTCACATCAACAAGGACTATACAGCTAAAGTTTTTATAAAGGTCAATGATCAAAACTTCATATATTATTACATTTTTTGACAAAATGACGATGTAACCAAAACGTGATTTGTAAACCAACAAGCATAGCATTAAATGGTCCACAAGTTCTAACGAAGGTTAATCTGATGGATCAAGTCAGAAAATACCTGCCATTGTATAAAAGCCATATGGATGCTCTCGGTAGCCAAACATTTCCCTTAGCTCCTCTCCATAGAATTTGTATACAAGTATACCTAAGAATGCTACAATCTGTGATAATTGTTCATTCAACAATCAGCAGGGACAGTTACTGGAAACAATTGATATGCATGGAAACAGTTATATCATTATACAATATCAATAAGTTGCAATCATACAGAAAAAAACTCCAAGAGTTATATGTATCTCATTGGGTCCTAGGTTTAGCTTTCCTCCCTAGGTTTTGTACATTCTATGCTCAACGCAGATTCACTTCCAAGCTTCTTGGCATAAATAACTTTGGAAACTCTTTGACGTTATAATAGGAAAGACTAGAAGGAGGGCATGCCTGGTCCACGATAAAGATGAAAGAATTGCACAATGCTTTTTGCCCAACCAAGAGGTCTAACCTTATGGAAGATCTCTGAAAGGAAAAGCACGGTCTAGCTCTAACAATAAACTGTATAAGGGCATGGGAAGAACTAGGGGGGTGCAAAAGGGTTCATCTGAAGTCCAAACCCCATACAAGGTCAAACTTATTTTTTTAATTTATATAGTACATGATGAATCCCCTGGATTTTTCATGCATTTACTTATTTCACTTTTGAATCCCTTAGTGAAAATCATGACTTCGCCACTGAATAAGGGGGCATATATTTCTTAACAAAATGGACAGTTTTGTAAAAATGAACTTCATAGGAATTGGAGGGCCAAGTGACCTAGTATTACACAATGTATTTGCCAATTTAGCTATGTTTCATTTACCTACATTAGAGAGGCTTGAAATATTGAACGGATGAGAGAAACCAGAAAAAAAAATGTAAGAAATTTCAAGGTCTTTAACCTTTTAAACCTACTTATAACAAACAAACTTCACCTATGCAGCAAAACTGATCCAATATCAAACCTGGATAAAAGCAAGACTGCAGTCGGTTGACCAACATAAAAGATAGTCTAACTGTAATGCATCTTATAAGTTTGATGGACGCAAAGAATCATATAACTGATCCTAGCTAATTTGGATTGAAGCATAATCGAGTGATTGCAGGTGAAGAATCTTTCGAATCTTGGGCACACTATTTCTCCATGAAATGAATCCCATGCCCTTTTAAATGAAATTTTGTTAACATACCATAATAGCTAAAGGAAAAGGCTATGGTGATAGACCCCAAAGAAGATACTCTTGCTCACACCTTAGCCAAAAACCATTAATAAAGAATTAATTCTAAACAAAATGCTAGTACATGCCATTATTTTACTTTATCGAAAAAAAAAAAAAAAACAGTAGATGTCAGGCATCTGCTTTTCTTTACCTTAATGAAATTGTCCAGTCTGGAAAATCTTTAGTAACCACAATTAAATAAGAACAACAATGAAATGGCTCTAGGCTTCACAAACTTAACTCATTAACACTCCCAAAGCTCCGGTTTGAAGCAAAAAAGAAAAAGGTGCAAACATTCAAGATAATCTTGTGCTTGGCAGTAAGTGTGAAGCTCTTCTAATTTGTGAAACTTATGGGGGCTCTTGTTGACGGCCCTCAATGTCTTCTTGTTCATTACGGTAAAACCACCATCACAAGCATAGTAATTTACTGATGGCAGTACAGAAGAAACATATCCTGTCGACATTGCAAATCTAGCTTTGGACTATTGAATTAAGGTTTTAAACAAGTGGTAAATAAATATAAAGCAAGAAGAGCATAAACGAGAAGTACAGCTATATCCAACTTCTGTACCATAAACTATACACCACCTTTTAACTACAATACTGGTAGGAACTTAAGGCAGAATGGAAAATCTGGCTAAAAGAAATTATGTCCATACCAACTGGACAACGAGAAAAATGAATGCATGGTCTCTTGCCACAAGGAATTGAAATTTTAATCTCAACCACCAGCGATCAGGTGGGACATTTGCCCGTAATATGAACTTTGCCCTGCATTCGGTACAGTGAGCAAAAGCAAATCCCTCCTAGAAAATGGAGCCACAAACACATTAACAACATTACAAAACCAAGAAGATGACAACATGTCTTATACAAAGTACAACCATTAATGAAAATTTCAATGTATGTTATCCCTTTATCTTCAAAGAACGGCTGTTAATGCCAAAACCTTCCAAACTCAATGAACTAATGAGATGTCAATTGATAGCTAATAATATTGATCCCAAATTACTGCGATGAGAAAGCAAGTAGGCAACCTGATTAAAAAAAAAATACATCACCCAAAGACTCAAAATAGTTCAATAAAGGATAGTTTCGAATTCTAACTATCTCCACAGATACATGGAGGGAATCTTAAATAAGAGGGAATAATTTATAAGACAGGAGAAAAGGAAAAAGAAATAGAGTATAGCAACCTAAAAATAAAAATAAAGAAAATAACACTCTCATTGCATCTGGTAAAACTGAAAGGATCTCACAAACATGGAATTAACACTTCGTGAGATTGTTTATCACTTCCTTCAATGGTATAAGGGCTAACAAGCATAAAGTACCTTGTTTAGGTTCAGGGTTACATAGATAAATATAAACCACGGATGCGCTATGAGCATAGAGTATTTTATGACATACTAGTTCTTCATAATAGATAACTTCGTATATGCTTTCCAGATACTCTGACTTCCAATGTAAACTACTCTATGCATTTCTTGGTGACCTTTTGATGTAAACTAATTATTCAGCAGTCTGAGTTTGATGAGAATAAAATTTAAGTTCTCAAACAGAATCTAATTTTCTGGCAACTTCTAGGACATGCCACTGACCATTTGTAGATAACATGTATATAAGTTAATTCACCTTAGTTGATCTCCAGTTATCGAGACATGATCTATGGACATACTTTTGTGTTCCTTTACAATGGCAGGGTGCAATCAGATCTTCTCCTAAAAAAAAATTACCAAATTCCAGCTGTTAGTGCAGTAACAAAGAATAATTCCGAGGATATATGTAATTACAATCATGTAGCTGAAAAAAACAAATTCTCATCATTATCTTCCTTAATGGTTTACACAAAACTAAGTGCATAATCAACACCTTCATTGTCCAAGCATATGCGACACTGGGACAGTTCAGCATGTGACAAAGATTGAATTTCGTAGACTCCAACACTTGGCAGGTCACCAGCAGTCTCCAAACAATCTTCAGTAATTTCAGTTGAATGTGAAGTGTCCTCAGATTCCTCAACAACCGCAATCTGCGATAAGATGGGCTCTGTTTCTGAACTATCCACTACCAGGTTATCATTTGACACTATTCGCATCACGAGAAATCTTGACTCCAGATTATGCTGTAAATCTCATCACTGGGGCGATTGTCCCTACAGACCATTTCAGTAGAGACGGGAAAAACTGCAAACAGTAAAATAACTGAGAAGATCAGGAATTTGAAGCCCACTTATAAAGCAACAGCTTAGGTTTGACTGCTCAGGAACAGCAGCTGATTGAATAATATGCACAGCACCAACAACACTCTATTACATGTGGATGCTACGATCGCTGCTAAAATACCATCTAGTTATTGCTGGAAATGCTTCATGGGCATTATATTTGTGCGAGATGATCTGTTCTCTTAAAATACATTGTCATCATTGAAATAAGCATTACAAAACCATTACGATACAAATGACCTTGTAACTGCATAAATTTTGACTATATTATAATTTATAAGCTTATTAAAGAACCCTGTGATGATGAAGGAAATCTCTCTCAGAAAGGTACACCGCATCTGATAAGAGTACATACATTTTCAACAAGAATTTCACTTTTCTATAAACTTTTTGACCACCCGAGTGTTTCATATGTAGAATTATGCAAGGCCAGCCTATATGATGATATGACTTTGTCTAGATGAATATAGATATCTTGTGACAGACATTATATTGCATCAATGGAATTCATTCTTTGCTTGTAAGAAGAGATATATCAATGACGGAAGAGAACAATTTTTAATTTACAACAAATTCATTTATTTTTTCACCTTATTCTCTGAGGGTGAACATATCTTAGAGGGTAATTTGTGAATTTGTTGTATAAGGCTCAGGGCAAAGTACGAAAGAAGCAAAGATGATGCGAGTAGTCTAAGCACTCTCAATACCTCAAAACAACAGCTGAGTGGTAGCAGGTGACTAGTGTCTTTCCGGATAAATGGCACATCAACAACAGGAAAAGGTAACAACCCAATGTGGTGAATTGCTTGAACTCGTCATGGTGATATTAACTCTTTGTAACCATTATGTGCAGTGATTAATAGCAGGCCAGTTTAATGGTGAGAGTAAGAAATGACGAGGGACATTGTGAAAAAATTGGTATAAACTAATTAAATAAAAAAAACTGTTAAGTAGCAAACCAAAAGGCCTAGGTAGGGGTTGAGATAATAGAACGAGCAATAAGTTGTCCAGAAATTGAGTCCAACTCCAAAGGAATCAAATGGAATCTTGTATTAAGCAGTTTTAAGCTAAGAAACAAAATGAATCCAAACTAAAGAACAAAGCTCGGTGATGTAGAGGGAGAAGACTAACCTGATATATGTTCAGGAGTAGTTGTTAATCGGGAGATGCTTCGACGAAGACATTGGCCAAGTTGACGATGGAAATGAAGCGAATAACAATCTGATAATAGCCGGAGGGCGGCGGCGGAGCTTGGAACTTTTGCCGGCACAAGGAGATCGGCACCAAAAGGGGACTGGAATTTGGAATTTGGAATTTGGAATTTGGAACTTGGAACTCGCAAACGACAGGACACGACGGGACTTTTCCAATTATTGTTTTTTCATTATTAGTTTTTTAAAGTTAAATTATATTACTCCCTCCGTTTCACAAAAAATGACCTCCTTTCCTTTTTAGTCAGTTTCAAAAAAATGACTTCTTTCCTTTTTTGATAACATTTTACTTTTTGCTTTCCACGTGGCATGTTTAAGACCACAAGATTAAGGGCAATTTTGTACATTTGACATAACTTTAATTTAGGACCACAAGATTCAAAAGTCTTCTTTAATTTCTTAAACTTCGTGCCAAGTCAAACCAGACCAATCTTTTTGAAACGGAGGGAGTATATTAATTTGATATCGTATATATATCATAAGCCAAAGTCACCTCCGACCCCTCAAAGTTGTCCTCATTATTCATTTAGACACCTCAACTACACCTAGTACCTATTGAACACCTCTACCACCCCAAATTTGAACCGTATAAGCATTTTTTGCCTACATGGCAAATCCTTTGTGATTCATGCAAATGGGGAGCGTGAATTGTTTTTTCTCCCATTTTTTACCCTGCATTTAAGACATCCAACGTTAAAATTTTAACTTGGATATTTTAACATTGAAATCCCCAATTCTTCTTCCCCCAAATCCATTTTAGAACCCTAAATCCCCAATTCTCTCTTCTTTCTCTAAATATCCAACGTTTCTCTCTTCTAAATCAAGCCATTGTCTTTTATCAAATGTCGCAAAGTTCAGGAAATATCGAGGAAGTCGATGTATGTAAGTGTGGTTATTATTGTCGACTGAAAACTTCGAGGACTCCATTGAACCCAGGTCGTCAATTTTTTTAATGCAAAGCATCAAAGGTTTGTAATTATTCGAACAAAAACTACTGTTATTTTATTATTTGAAAAATCAACATTTTTGTATATTTATTACTGTTATGTGGTTTGTAGGAAAATGGTGTGTGTGGCTATTTTAGATGGATTGATTCGTCACTTTAAAATGCTGATGAATCATCCTTAATGAATAGATTCATAGATGGTCAAAATCCGATTGATTGACTAAAGAGAAAAGTGAAAGAGCTTGAAGAAGAAAGGGATTCTTTGAAATTTCAATTGAATGAAAATGAAGAGAAGATGATAGTATTGAACAAGAAGCTCAAGGAAGTTAAACTCCAAAGGGATGGGAAAATGTCAAATTTAACCGAATTGTGATTGTTTTTCTTTGTCTGCCAACTATAAAATGGTTCTTTAATAATGTGTAGTCCATAGTAGTTCAAGATTGTAGTACTTAATTATTTAGTTTTGCAGTAGTTAGGAGGCTATTATAGATCAATTAGTGTTGTACTTAATTGGTCTGTTAAGTTCATATTTTGTATCAAATTGGAAGTTTGAATGTGAATTGATCAGTGTCTCTTTTATAACTTTCAATGTGAATTGATCAGTGTCTCTTTTGTAACTTGCCTCTGTTTTCTAACTTGTCCTGTGATTGACTAGTCTTATTGACAAAAACACAAATGCATTGAGAGGTAGTGTAGTTGTTGTTCAAAAACTGAGCTAATAACACAATAACACAAAGTCATGATTGAAAAATACAAAACACAAATGCATTGAGAGGTAATCAAAAACGGTTGTCTTGCATGGTTAAAAAAATACATAGTATTGCTAACACAAATGCATGGTTCAAAAAAACATTACACGAGTGTTCAAAATAAACTAAAGAGTAGCTTGTTGAAGACCCTTCTAACATGGGCCAAAATCATAACAACTTTCCAAATGAACTACTTCCAGTTTTTCCTGTTTGCTTTCATTTGTTGCAACTGTGAGGTGCCGACTGCATCTTTTCCCTTCCATTTTAGGCTACGAGGTTTAAAGTCAATGTCTATATTGATTGGTGAAGCACTCTTCAATTTTGTTGGCCCATGTAGAATCTTCTCACTTAATGTACCAGGCTGTAATATAAGTAAGAAAGTGTAAGATAAGGTAAGATCATAATATGGCTATCAGAATATACACCAAAATAGAGTAAACATATTAAGTGAACATACATTAAATACTTGGGCTCCGGTTGTAGGATCAGGGTAAACACCAAAACCAGTTGTAGGCCTTCTGTTTCCTCCAGTAGCAGCAGCAAATGAGGCAGAACTGTATTGTCTCTTGTGACCTGATAAAGGTGGTGGTTGACTGGAAGAACTATCTCTTTCAGTAATAAATGGGGTCCCTCTTTCCTGGTTCAGTTTCCTTATCAATTTTTACCCAACAAGAGCTTCCAGGATTGGTTTGTTTGATCATATCTGCATAGTCACATAATCTGGCAAATTTCACATTTTAATCACCCATGTCTTCCTTCATAATCCTTTGTTTAGCCCTGTAACAAAGAGTCTTACCAACATAAAGGCCCAATGTCTTTCTAACCAAATCTTGAATTTCCCAAATCCTTATGTATGGTTGAGATACAACCTTAAATTTTCTAGCGATTAACTTTGAATTACACAACTTGTTCCTGTTTAATGGAATACACTTGTGAACAGGATGATAGTTCTTCACAATGAAATCACATGAGTCCCTGTCAATGGAAGCATATAATAACCACTTACAGTTAGCATTTTTGCACTTCACCCTCACTCTGTGTTTTTCATTAGGTCTTAACATTATCTGCCTCCTGTACTCTACAGCATAATCTGCCACTGCTTTCCTGAACTGATTTGCACCCTCAAAGACCATTCCAAGTTCAAATATTGAAACTTCACAATCTTCATCATACCTAACTTTTTTGCTTCTCCTTCTAACAGGTATATCTACTCCCCTAACAGCATCCACATCTAGTTGTTCATCACTATCATCACTCCAACAGTCAGAGCTATCAATATAATCCTCATCTCCACCTAATTTTCCTGCATATTTGTCAATTTTATTTTTCCCAATATCCTCAAAGCCTCTATCTATACCACCAGCCTCTCCAGCTGGTATTTCTTCAAATTAAGTACCTTTTTTCTCTATTTTTTGTTTCTTTTTTCTTGTCTAAAAGCTCTCAACTCCTCATCAATATCTGAACCATCTTCTGAAGGTATATCTAGATCTGAATCACTACCCAAGAAATCAGATTCACCTTCTCCACCTAGGTTATCATCCACACTCTCTCCACCTAAGTTATCATCCACACCCTCTTCACTAGTGTTAACATCAACACCCTCACCACCAAGGTTAACAGCCTCACCTTCTCCACCTAAGTCAACAGCCTCACCTTCTCCACCTAAGTTAACAACCTCACCCTTTTCACCAAAGTCAACATCAACACTTTCACCACCAACATTAGTTAGATAGTCTCTAGGTCCCTTAGTGTCAAGTAAGGGTTCATCTAATACATGACAGACAAATACTTCAAAAGTGTCTTCATGTTTTAAGTCTTTAATTAGGTGTAGGAGATGTTGGTCAGTTGTAATTAGAACCCATTTTTTATTCAATAAATCCTTCACATAAAAGACTTTAACAGTTTCATACCCCAATTCTTTAGTATAATACAGTAGTTCCAAAATGAAAAAGTGGTCCTTAATAATATACCTTAGTGCAAGCACACAGTTTCCAACATAAGTAGGGACAGATATCTCGGATAAGATTCCACCATGGTAAATCTTTGTAAATATAATCTCATCCATGGTCAATTGTTAGCCCTACAAAATATTAAACAAACCTTAGCTTAAGATAACGGAATATACTTATATGACCCATACAACAACTAAAATACAAAGCTTTAAAGCATATTTTCTGGGTAATAGTAAAGAAGGGACATAATATTCGCAAAAATCACAAACCCTATATTTTTACAAAATCCCAGCCTTTTGGAATTCATTTAACAAATCATGTAAAAATTATTAACAATCCTAACTTACACAAGGAAATCTTTAAGATCGTAACACGAACAAGATGAATCCAACTTCAATATGGAGGAAATCGCGAAGATGGAGAGCTTTAATTTGGAAGAAATCGCGAAGAAAGAGAGAGAGAAGTGTTCTGTCAAAATTAACGATTTAGGAATCTTCCCCAATTAAGACATATACAATACATGTCGGATACACGTGGTAGTTGTTAAATGGTCATTCTATACACGTCGGATACACGTGAGGAGCTTAAATACACGCGCCACACAGTTTATGAAAAGTGATTAAAAATGCTTAGACGGTTCAAATCTGGGGTGGTAGAGGTGTTCAATAGGTACTAGGTGTAGTTGAGGTGTCTAAATGAATAATGAGGACAACTTTGAGGGGTCGGAGATGACTTTGGCCTATATCATATCATATCATATATCATAGGCTTAAGTCATTGATGGCCCCTTAAAGTTGTCTACATATTCCACTTGGACACCTCAACAAACCCCTTTTCCTACCAGACACTCCAATCTTCAAAAAAAAAAAAATACCTATCAAACATTTTTCTGACACATAATCAAAAGAGGAAGTGCGTGTAATACACATGCACATGATATGGTAAAATAACAAATCAGAGGAAGACACGTGACATTTTAATTTAAAATAATTATAAAAATAAATTTTGAATATAAACAAATCTAAAGAAAATAATTTCAACTTAAAAAAGAAAATAAAAGAAATTGTACACCCTCAACTCCCCACCCCCTGAAACGACCCCAAAAATGTCCGAAAATGTGCTTCGGAAACACCTATAATTGTAATTTCCATATATCTCAAAATCCGTGCATCATTTCGGAAATTCGACTTTATATTCTTATTCAGGGGGTCAAATTGAGTGGGAAATGGGTCTAACCCGAATTTTAGAACAAACGTATCAAAAGTCGAAAATCGCAAAAAATGCGATTTTGAGGGTCAACTTTAAAGGGGCATATCTCTCAGCACACAAGGAACTGGAAGGAGCTCAAACTATCAAAATTAAAGCTCTGTGAGTTAGCTTTCCAACGCAATTTGTTTCACCTCATTCCGAGTTAGGATGAAGGAGTTATGACCATTTTCGTAAAACCTGTC